CTGGTCGATCTTTGCGGCCAACAATCTATATGACATTAGCAGCGACACCTGCTGGTTCGATCGTGAGTTCGAAGAGTCGATTTGAAAGTTTTCCAATTTTACGCAATTAATGATTCTTTTCACAGCGCGCAACTGGTCCATTATGATTTACTATTATGCGCCAATTTTCATCGCCTGTGTGTTGACCTTATTTTTCTATATTCTCACCTTGATTCATATCAGTGAGCGTCGCGATTTCAATATACGCAAAGCCACAGAGTCACTGGAGGAAAATCGGTATGCCAGTTACTGAATTGAAAAACTCGTTTATTTTTATTGAATTTCTTGCCTTTTCCATCTCGCATTAGCTTCAAATCATTCTGGAAGTTCTTCAGCTACACCTTCGTTGTCTTTCTGGTCTGCGTAACTTCGTTCGCCATCAACTACTACCGCGAGGAATGGACTCACATTAACTATGCGGTCTGTCTGTTCATCGCATTTCACGGCTTCGGCGGTTTGTACGCCTTGATTGGCAAAAATCAGCAGGTACAAAATTTTCTGCGACGCATCGAGGAGGATGTGTAAGTGGCTTTCAATAAAATATACATATTTATTGATGAGTTAATATATATGCGTATGTATATTTGCAGAAGTAGCGATGACGACGATATGACGGAGAGTGCGGTGCCCATGTCGGGATTCTAATAATTGTCCCTCTGCTGTTGGAGCACATTATTTGTTATGAAAGTTATATAAGCTATTATCTTATTAAGTGCATATAAATATATTTGATAGAGTTAAGTGTAAAAAGAAACCAGTTTTTGTAGTGTAAATTTAAAAATTACATATATTTTTTTTAAGCTAATAGTACCTATACACCTTTTGTGTGTCCCGCGAACTTCCGCGCCTATTACGCTCCATTAACCCTCAAAGCGGGGGTCTACTTTGTATTGCGATTCGAATAGTAAATCAATCGAACTCGAATACTTGGCGCTATGAATTTCTATTGGTCCGTGACCAGGGTTCCAGAGGCGGTGTGTGCCGATCTTTTCCACGGTTTAGTACATGGCTTTAGCTTTTCACTCTATTCGCACGGGTATACCTGGTAACTAGTAGTTACTCGGTTTTGTTACATTTTCTATTTTCGAATTCTTAAAAAAAAAAACTTTTAGGGATTTCTATCCGGGCACAAAATATGGAAAAACCTCAATTTTCTCCACTTTACAAAAAAAAAAACAAGTTACTTGGTTTTGTTCTATCACAGGCGACCTTTTATACGACGGTTAAGAGGCAGACACCGGGTAAAGCACACTTGCGATCGAGTCATCAGGCATATGCACGTTTGCAGATACAGGCACCTTATCAACACCACGCCGCAGTACTTGAATAGTTAGCTCAGCTGGCAGACCGTCAGATACAGCGGCTTTGTTGTTTTTCAGCCGTGAAATTCATATTCGTACCTTCCGTAAGTCGCCTAACCTTCTGATAAATTTTGCGGGAGTTGTGCTCTTCACACTCATGGATTTTGGTATCTCCATCTTTTTATTACGAAAAATACCTTTCGCTTCCCTCCTCATATCGATCCCAGATAGCTCGCAATACGCCCGATCGCAGAGTGGACATGTAGGCGGCATTTATTTTCCCGGCAGCGGCCTGACATGTAACTGGCGCATCGCACGACGATATTTCGCTCTGTTTGAAACTCAGCCTTTATACAATTTACCAACATCCGCATACTTTTCTTTGGCATAGTCGAGATACGAACCATTCTTACTTCCGCCGGCAGATGGCACCAAAACGCCGAAGAGAACTGTTCCCAGTGGATAGTTTGTTTTAAAAATACATTTAATAATAAGTATGTAAATGTGGTGAGTGCTTTGTCCAGCACATGCATATACTATATGCATGTATGAACATTAGGACGGGTCAACGTGTATGGGAGACTTTTTCGACTATGAGCCCACAATGGCGTGAAAAACACAGGGTTTCGACGTGGTTTTTCATGCACAGCGTTGAAAATTCATAGGATGCACTTGATGACTAATTTTTTTCGTCATTTCGTTATTCAAAAAAAAAAAAACTTGTTTGATGATGCAGGTTTTAATTTTTCAAATTAATTGGTATTTTGAGTATGCAGTTTTATAGCCATTAAATTTTAGTATAATTTAGAGAAGGCTTCAAGAAGCTACACTGCCTATTTAGGAGAACAATTGCATGAACTTATGAGATGCCTAAACTGAAAAGTGTATGTAGGTATGTGCTTCTACCATCTCAGTGAAATCGTTAAGTATGTACTGTCATTTTTATATGGCGAAACCATGCTAAAGCAATTGAGTTCTCCGGATGACCAACTCAACAGCTCCGGTTAACTCAGGTTAAGCTCCGATGGGGACAAAGTATAAGCAAATTTTCCGAAGAAACCATGGGTCTAAAATCATTTGGAGTTTGCGAAATTGCGAAAATAGGTTTCTTAGTATTTTGCTCTAGTGTCGTAAAGAAGTGCTTAAATTTTGTGTAAAAACACGCTATGGGGGATTTTTTGGGATGAAAAATCCACGTCCGCACTTATAATTTTCTTTGAAACCTATTTACGTAATTTGGCAAACTCCAAATAGATTTTAGACCCATGGTTTCTTCGGCAAATCCGCTAAGAATTGCATGTAAGAATGAATCTCCTGTGCTATACGCGCATAGTAAAACAAATTGACCCGCCCTAATGTATCCACTACACCACAGCGGCCGCAAAAAAGTAAGATATAGAGTTCTAATATTCAAAGCATCTTACGAGTTAAATAAAAAAAAAAATAATATAAAAAAAAATAATAAAATAAAAAAAAGTTTAGCCCTCAAAAGCTATGCCAGCCAAGCAGTCAGCATCAACGGCAGGTAAAATTTGAAATCAAGGGATCATCAATGGCCACAGCAGTAATACCTTAACACCTACAGGGCCGATAACTATATCGAAGGCAGCGCCACTGTGAGAATCATTGCAGTCGCCTTTGATGTGTGCGTACAGACTCAAACCTAATTGCAAGCGTAAACCACTACGACGACTACCATAAACTTTAATGTACATTTGTATGTACGCATGTATGAGTGGTGAGTTTATTTGACAGATACATCAGAGGTCATTGCTCCCATTTGCCCACTGGCTTCTGTTTTCTGCCATTCGATTGGTCACATTGCCGCTCACATCACATTACTCACTCAATGCTGTTTGGAGCCTCAAGCTCACCCGCTGCTCTTGACACTTCTTTCTCCAGGAAGTATTTGTTGGTGTGTTTGTGTTGCGCGTACGTACATGTCTATATGTACCAGGGTTGTTGCGAATATTCGCATTAGTACTAAAAAAAAAAAAACATTATTAAAAATTACCAACCTTTCAATTTTTTATTTAACTAAATCACCTCAATTTTTTCTTAAAAATACTTGGCATCCGCATTCGCATCCGCATCCGCCGATGTTAGCTTTTAAACATCCACATCCGAATTCGCATTCGCGGTTATCTAAAATTTCACATTCGCAACATCCCTAATATGTACATATACATACATACATTAATAGTATGTAGATGGCTCTTAAGTGGTGGAATCTGAGGAATTTCAACGTACTCATCTAACATCATCCGAGAGCGCGCATTTTAAACCTGCCACAAGCACAACCATTTCCACCGGAGCCACACATACACACATATGTATGTATGTGCATGTGTATATACATAGTTCATACTCATGTATGTATGTATGTAAGTTCACCTGACCACTCTTTTGATTCGTAAAACAAATCATATTTCGCTCGCCTACATACATTCCGCCACTGCCTTTGTTATGGACCGGGCGTTCAGTATTGCGATGGTCGCCTTTGGCCAACTTCACTGTGGCGGGAAAGAAAAATGGTTAGAGGCCCGAATGCCGTCTTACACATTCAAATAGGTATTGGACAATAAAGAAATATAGCGTAAGCTTCCGTTGTTGAGAAGCAAGACTACCTGCATTGTTGTTCGATTCGTTTGCTCTTTATTGACCACTCTACTCGACTACTAGGCAACTAGCTTAACGTATCCCTAGGGACGGACGTGGATATTCTCTTGCCTCTTTTATGATTATATTTACAAAACTAAGAGTTGGTCATTCTTCCTTTGATGCAAAGGGAAGTTCGCTTACTTCATTTGTTTCATCTTCGACGCCTTCGATGGTCTAATCTTTTGCTATCAAAGCGGACTGTAGGTGTTTTGGTTCACTTCGCTGCCCTTACTATGGGCATACGATGCGATGTCTCATTACAAAATGGTTGATCTTGCCCATAAAACGTCTACAGTACCTTTGCGAAGTCCTTCGTATCTTACCTCATCAGTAAAATGTCAAGACGACCGATCGGCAGCTGCTGTATGTCTTCGTTGAGTGCCGTTTCTGTCATTCTGCGGCGCCGTACTCGGCTATATGAAGGCAGTTCGAAAAAGTCTTGGTGACAGTAGATAGAATAAACTTGGCTAGAATTGGCGCGATATCGACTAATCAGTTTAGTTGCGTTTGTCCCTGAACCCGTAAGAGCAAGTGTTTCTTTTTAAACTGTAATCATTTTTTTAAGTACCATGATTTTTATCAGCATTTTAAGAACATTTTCCCACTGGGACTGTGCGCCTAAGCTCCAGTCGCATGTTTTGCTTCCAATTGCTTTTATTTAGCCTTTTTTGAGCTCTAACCGCGGAAGGCTGAGTTGCGAATCGGTCGAGTATAAAATTCCACTTTGGTCCAAACAACGCATATGTATGTATGTATGTATGTAGGTCTATAAAGTTCCATTGCTGCAGGACCACGCTCCTCGCCTCCTATTTGCACTTTCTTAGTTGGCAGTACTTTTCAATGCCTGCCCCAAGTACAGTTAATGCGAATATTCACAACGCAGCGACGGCGCCATTTTGCTTAGTGATTCAAGCTGCTGGGTATGCAGCAGATAACAGTAAGCGCTAGCCATTTACAAAAATATACACAAATATAAGCATTGCAACAAAAATAGAAAAAAGGGAAAACATTTCCCATAAGTATGTATGTATGTACGAGTAGTTGCAATAAAAATTACAAACTTACAGAAAATCACATCTATTGCGGCAGTCCCTATGAAGCGCTTAAATATGTATCTATTTATGTATAAATGTACATATATATATATACTACGTATGTATACAAATTAAAACTCATTCATTATACACGAGTTTGTATATGTATGAGCATATTTTAAATTCACATACATACATAAATATCTATACATATATCCTTTACATGCCTGGTTTATATAACATGTGGCTGTGTGCCAATCTACGTGCATACATACATATACAGTAGCGGTCATATCTATAGCACGGCATTTCAAAGTGATATTGTGTGCCACTTAAGTTTATTTAGTTATTTTTAAGAATTTTCAATTAAAATACAGTTCTTTCTCTAACAAAACCCATATAAACCCAAGTTTAAAAATTTGTAGAAAACTACAAGAAAGTGCAACAAATTTTCAACTAAATTTCAAACTTTTTTCTCGGAAGTGTTGGAATTTTTTTGAGTACACAGTTTTTTAGCTCCTTCAATTTTAGTTCGATAATGTGCAAATTTCAAGTGGCTACGAATTACCGTTAATTTTTGAGAATTTTTTTTTGTCGCATTGGCTTCCATATCTATACATATAATAAAATTGTAACAGGTCGATGTCTGTACATTATAGATATTAAAGAAAAATTAATGTGGGGGGTCTTTTTTAAAGCACCAGAAGTCAAATCAACCATTTTTAGAATTTTTGTCTGTCTGTCTGTCTGTCTGTCTGTCTGTCTGTAT